CCCTACAACAAGGCCATCTTACCTGCTGACATTTCAATTTGCTTTCTGAATGACAAATGGAGGTAGAATAAATCGGGGGGCCTACTTACACACTTATTGCTCTTGCCCTTCATTCCCTGTTACCTGGACATTCCCTGGGATTGCGCACATCTCCACTCTGTGTGCCGGACAGAAATGGCTGAGAAGAGCAGCTAGAAGAGGCCAGTACCCACAGAATCAAGGCCAGCCATAGCCGCTTCTAATTTAAAAGCATGCTACTGCTACTCCTGAGTCTTAGAAAGCTTGTTAAATTTTATTGAAATGCTCCTTGACTTTTCTCAGGACATTTCTGACCTACGATAACAGAAGGTTACAATAAAAAACACTTCCCATACTCAGACCAATTGAGTGCAATCTGAATTTTGGTTTACTATTGCAAGGCTCTTTATAAACAGTTGTAGTGGGAAATCTATAACCTTTCAGAGGTCAGCCTAACGCTTTCATAGCTTCTGCTTGTAATTCTCAGAAGAGGATGCTATATGACCCCATAACTTCTGAGGACACGCTACAGCAAGTGTTAAAAGCATAGGCATTAGAGTTAGACAGACATGGATTCAAACAGGAAGACTCCACTCACCACTTGTGTGACCCTAGACAGGTTACCTACCTCAGTGCCTCAGTTTCCTTGCTTGTAAAATCTAGATAATAGTACCTTTCTTACTGAATTCTTCCAAAAATTAAGTAATGAACATAAAGCATTTAGCACAGTGCCTGACATAGATATGTTCTCTACAACTGCCTTTCTTTCTTCCCCTTTTCTTAAATTTCAATTTATTTTATATATTTAATCATGACATATCACTTAACTTATAAAGTGAAAATATCCAACATGAATACACTTCACACCGGTCCAGTTGAGGATACTATACACATTACCATCAACAGATAATAATCCATTTCCGTGTCCCATAAATGTCTTGCTTCTCTATCTTTCTCCTTAATTTCTTTCCTTACATTTGCCCCCTTCTCCCACCTTCTTAACATACTATAACTGCCATTCTATTAATATAGTATCTCACTAATTTTCAGAAAGTTATTTCTGTCTCTAAAAAGCCTATATTGACTGCTCAGTATTAATTGTTACTGTTAATAAAAAGTGACATGTTTGTTATGGTCACTGGGTACTTTGCTCTCAGTACCTCTTTCTTACCTATAAAATGAGGGCAATACCATATGCCCTGCTAATATCTCAGAAGGGAGAGAGTCCATAATTTGGGCAAGTCTTCTGAAAAATGAAGTGTTCTACATATGTAAAAAGTTTTAACTAAAATTTTAATTTGTAATTTAGAATTCTGAAATAGGCTTGTCCTTGTCACCATGGATAAACAAAGGTATGCCAGATCATAACTCAAATCCTGTTCCTAAGTCTCCTCTAATTAATTTTAATTCATTTTAAGCATATGGTGATTCAGTACCTTCTTTTGATAAATGATTCACATGTTTTAATTTGCTACTAGATTATTTTCAGAAATGTCTACTGAGCTTTCTTAGGAAAGTCACGACTTGGACAGTGGATAAAATGTGAGTTATTTTATCCCTACTTGAGCCCAATCATATGCTTATTCTGAGTTTAGATCATCTACTCATACGGTTATGCTAAAGTGAGAAGCAGCATGGAGCAGCTGGCAAGGCATAGGCTTCTGGGATTTGAATTCTAGTCATTTATTCACTGGATTTAATTTTTAACATTTTATTTTACCTTTCTGAACTTGCATCCGAAAAATGAAAATAGTGTAACTACCTCCAAAAGAGAAACTGGACCAGACCAGCAGATACTATGGTGGTTAAGGTGCCAATTCCCACATGGACGACCATGACTCAAGTCATGGACCCAGCAACTTGAAAATCATACCACGCTCGTGTGCTTGCATGGCCAAAATCCTGAGAGAAAAATGCAGGAGAAGGGATCGCAGGGATTGCAGCACAGCCTTTCCCACAGTGGTGATTTCTCACTTTCCCTCTCACAGTCTCTGTCTCTTTCTGGTGAGAGTGTGTGTCCTATGGCAGAAAACAACAACTATGTGTGAGTGAGTGTGTGTGTGTGTGTGTGTGTGTGTGTGTGTGGAGAGAGAGAGAGAAAGAGAGAGTAAGTGCGCGAGAACCTTAAAGAGCAGAGCACAGTCCCCGGACACACTGAACGGCACAAGACAGTATCTACTTACAGTTCACAGATGCCAGCTCTAGAGGGAAGGAGAGGCACAAGTTGCAGTAAAAGTTTGACACCATTCTGCCACTCCTCTTCTCTTTCAAATTCACAGTACAAGTAGCTACATTCATCAGATGAAAACTGGTAGAAAACGTAAGTATCTTGAAAATACAGATGCTGGTCCACTATTTGAAATAAAAGAGATATGGGTCGGTTTTTAAAAGTGTATTATTCAGAAAGTCATAAACAAAAGAATAAATTGAAAGCCTTAATAATTATAAGGGAGAAGCCAGTGGTAAGACTATAATTATACATTGTAAGCTCACTTATGTTTATAATCCCACTGAATTAAAAAGGACTTACTAACTAGTCTATTTTTATTATTTGAAGCTTTGACCAATATTCACATGCATTTTATAGTTTTCTGCTTCAGAAACAAGTGCAGATGAAACAACAATTTAAAGAAGGTGGAAAGATTTTTTTTTTTTAGTGTACCAAAGTAAACTAATATATTTAATTATTTTAGTGGTACACAAAGACTTGACAATAGTAAGGGTTTTTGTTTAGAGGTTTTTACTATAGGGCGTGTATACTCATCAGAAAGACAGAGAGAGACAGAAAGACAGAAAGTGAGAAATGACCCCCCCACACACAAGAGGATGGCCACGCGGCAATCCCTTCTCCTCCATTCTCCTCTTGGGATCTTGGGCATGCACGCACATACACCCAGTGTGAGTTTAAGCCACCAGGACCATGACTCGAACCGCGTTCGACTACATGGGAGTCCAGCAACATAGTCATTATGCTAACTGCTAGTTCCAGACAATGGCAAGTTTTAGGTCAGTGGTTCTTAACTAGGCATGACTGTGCCCTCCAGCAGACATTTGGTGATGCCTAGAGACATCTTTGGTTGTCAAAACAAGAGGGAAGAGTGCCACTAGTATCTGGAGGGTAGGAAAAGAAATACGGCTAAAAAGTTCTACATACACGACATCTTCTCACAACAAAGAATTTCCTACCCCCAAACTGTCAATACTACCAAGGTTGAGAAACCCTGCTCTGAAAATCAAGAGCTGGAGACTCCTCCCAAAAGCATTCACATACAGCGTTTTGCTAACTAGATGCCTGAACCCAGAAGTGAACTGATAACATCTCCACTATCAAGGCAGCGAACTGATTCTATAAATAAGAGTATTAGGTGCCAGGTATTACTGGCTTTCTAAGATGATGACATCCATGTCCCCATTTGTACTGTCCCTTCACAGTGGGGCTGGTGGGTATGCCCTCAACATTTATTACCTTTAGGAGAAAAGGGCTTCTCAGTAACCAACCAGCACCTGAGAGATTGAACGAAATAAAGAATCCAGACTGCTTGGTTTTTAATCCTTCAATTCTCTTGGCTCAACTAAGAAAAGAGAGATCTGCCATCTATTTTAGTTTCTAGTTAACATCTACTTTCTGAGCTATATAAACAGCTCATTTTCATAGGTCATATCTCTAAGTGTTCATGATTACTTAGTCAATTAAAATGGCATTCACATTCCATTCATAAAATCAGTTTATGATGATTACTCTAAGTACAGCAAGAGAAATCACACATTTAGAGTAACTAAAGATGTCCCTGACTCAAAAAAGAAGTTTGTGAGCAGCAATTTAAATACAGAAATGAGGAATAAGGAAAAACTCTTAAAGGTATTAGTCTATGAATCAACAAGTACCTGACTATTTTTACAAAACATATGAGACAAATAAGCGAATCAAAAGATGGCTTGGCACTTTTACTTAGAAAATAAGACAGAATGCGGGACCAGCAGATGGCAGAATGGTTACATTGCTGGACTCCCATGTAGTCAACAGGAGTTCAAGTCCTGGATCTGGTAGCTTAACCTCACGGTGGGTACATGTGCATGTATGCCCAAAATCCCAAGAGGAGAATGGTGGAGAAAGGATTGCAGTGTGGCCATCCCCTGGAGGGGTAGGAGGTAATGTCTCACTTTCTGTCTTTCTGTCTCTCTGGCAAGCATATATGCCCTATAGTAAAAAGCTCTCTTTAAAAAAAGAAAAAGAAAGAAAAGAAAACAGAATGCAAATATTTTCTTTATCTTTATCTAAAGGTAATTTTCACTAGACTGCAACATTGTCCAGAAAATCAAGTAGATTTTGCTCTGAGAGCATAATAAAATCATGATGCCATGCCTTTGAAATATATAGTACTAACCTGATGACATAATTCCCATGTCCAGGAGGAGCTGCCAGACCCCGATGGCCATAGATCTGCACTGAACAAAAGGACAGTGTTCCAGAAGCCAGTCCACAAGTTCTGACCCAACACAGCTTCTCCTGGACGAAAGCAAAGCCATTCATGGTAAGATACTGTTGCCACTCATTTGCCAAGAAAAAAAGAGAGAATATATTTAATACCATTCCTTTCATTCACCTGCTGTTTCAAACATGAAGCCTAATAAATGGCATGTGCCTCTTAGTAAAGCTCAAATATCCCTTTCTTTTTCTTTCTTTCTTTCTTTCTTTCTTTCTTTTTTTTTTCTGAGAGGTTTTTGCTAATAGGGCACATGCACTTGCCAGAGAGAGAGAGACAGAGAGACAGAAAGCAAGAAATCATCCCCCAGAGGGGACGGCCACACTGCAATACCTTCTCCTCCATTCTCCTCTCAGGATCTTGGGCATGCACACACACACGCACGGTCACGGCGTGAGTTTAAACCACCAGGTCCGGGACTCGAACTGCGGTTGACTACATGGGAGTCCAGAGACATAGCCGTTACACCAACTGCTGGTCCCCAAATATCCCTTTCTCAGAGAAATTTAAGAATCAAATTCTCTTACATTTTTTCTTCAAGTCAGCTAATGCTTAATAATTACATATCTTTCCAAATAAACTATTTTGGGGGCCAGTACGTGGCATAGAGGCTAAGGTGCTAGACTCCCACATGACTCAATGCAGTTTGAGTTCCAGACCCAGCAGTTTGAAACTCATAGAAGGTGCGTGTGCCTGCATGCCCAAAATCTCAAGAGGAGGATGGAGAAGGGAGAAGTGTGCCATATCTCCCCAACCAGGGGGGTGATTTCTCACTTTCTCTCTGTCTCTCCAGTGAGCATACATACCCTATAGCAAAAAATCTCTCTTAAACAAACAAAAAATTCTTCTACTTCCTCTAGAAAATAATTTTAAGGAACACAGGGACTTTTGTGTAACTCACTATTAATCCCCAACTAGAACAGTCCATAGCACATAGTAAGTTCTCAAAATATATATGAATAAATGAAGGAATAAATTTAACAGCCCTAATGATAACGCTTCTGCTTTGGTAAGCCACATACCTCAAGTTGGTGGTGATAAACTTTGGCTTAACCACTTAAGAGATTTTTATCTGGTTTCATTAAGAACAAAATAATTCTGAGGTCAGACAAAATTGGAATCATAGTCAGTGGTAGAGAGTTTTGTTTTACTCTTCAAAGATTAAAGCCTGAAATTTGTTTCAAAGGACAGTAAATGTGATTGTTAATCTTTTTCTAAGCAATCTAGTTAAACGACCTAGATTATAAACCCATAAATCTAGATGTGTATGTCAGATTCCACTAACCACATGAACACAAAATCATCTTTGTAATCTATCTTAAAACATACAACTGTATTTTTAAAAATAATTATTTATTTAACCTTGTTTATTTTTAAAAATATTTTGAGAGAGAGAGAGAGAAAGTAAGCCTTTAGGTCTGGGACTTGAACCATGGTCAGCCATGTGGGAGTCCAGTGCCCTTAACCACCACGTCCCCTGCCGGTCCCTTAAAAATCGTGTACATTGAGAGAGACAGAGAGAGAGATGGACTCAATGCCACAATCCTCTTGCCTCCACAGGTTTTTGCCATAGGGCAGGTGCCACCACGCCCAACACACAACTGTATTTTTAGAATGCCATAATCTGGGTATTACAAGCAAGATCTTCGTGTCAATTTTTGTTTCAGCTTCCAGTGAAAAACAAAGTTTTTTTTAAATACGTTTTTTCATTTGCAGAAATTCCATTACTTTCCCTTATGAGAAAAGGACAACAAAATGTTTTTAAAAACAAAAGATGTATCATGTACTGGTTATATATTTTTTCTATATTCAGGGTTGAAGGACGAAGAGCTAAAACATTTATTTGTATTCCTTTCATTTAAAAGTCCTGCCTAATGAGACCAGCAGGAAGCCATAATGGTTACGGCACTGGATTCCCACATAGTCCACTGTGGTTTGAGTCCCAGATCCAGTGGTTTGAAACTCATACTGGGCGCATGTGTGTGCATCCCCAAAATCCCAAGAGGAGAAGGGATTACAATGTAGATATGGACTCTGGGGATGGGGGGGTTGATCTCTCTCTTTCTATCTCTCTATCTCTCCAGCAAGTGCACGCACCCTATAGTGAAAATCTCTCTCTCTAAAAAAAGCACTGCCTAGTTCACTATCTGTTGTGATGGTAACAGTCACAAACACCTTGGAACTAAGCTACAGCCAACAACATGAAGAGCTGCTATGAGGTGCTACATTTTCTGGGGTGAAGGAAGATAAGACAGTGAACTTTTCTGCTGAGATATTAGAGCAGATATTCGAGCTTTTCATAAAACATTATTATTATTTTTTGGTATGACATCACTGTTTGAAAGCTATTCTAAGGCAATTAAGCCAATTTCAGATGTTCAGTTGCAAGGTAGCATTAAGACAAAAGATTAACAGTCAAATACATGGATTTTTTTTTTTTAAAGAAAATGAGAAAACAGAAGGCAGCAAAGCAGGCAATTAGACCAAATAATCAATATTAACTTTCACTTCTATAGGACACCTTTCATGTAAAGACCCAAGGTGTTAATTAACTAATTAATTCCTCAACACCTCTGTCAATTAGCCAGCATCTTAGGGCTTTAAAAGCACTCCTCCCCCATGCACTAAATACAGTATCCTCTTAATTCAAATTCTCAATACAGTGCAGCTCCTCAGCCTGCCTGAGAGCCTAACATCACTTGGACCAAGGCAGTGCACAACATGTTCACCAAGCAAACTAAACTGCCCACTGCAAAGTGGTTGGCTTGTTTTCCTAGGTGACGTGGAAGCAGTGCCTTAGACCAGGGCTTCTCTAAACCAAGCTCAGGAGCTACGTGGAGAAGTCATTCAAAGAGAGTTTCTGATGCACTAAGGCTGGGAGGATCCAGATTTCTCATATCTACAAGGCTCTGGGATGCTGGAGACCACAGAGGTCCAATCCTGTAGCTCTTCTTTCTCAGTGGGCAGGGCTCACTCTCTTTCCTTGGGCAGGGCTCTGAGTCAATATGCTAAAACACAGAGCCATCATGACAACATTAATTACTAATGGGCCCCGCCTTACAGCAAGCTACTGACCCATTGCACATGGCCCCTTTCAACACTTACCCTAATTTTATCAAAGTAGTGTTTAAATAGCTTTCAACAATCCATCTGCACTAGGGAAGACAACATCAGGTATAAGGGAAAATGCTGATCATTAATATCAACATTGTTACTATCACTAAATATCACACAAAATTAGGTGAGTTGAGTCTGTACTGAGCTTCTAGTCTGACTTGCTAACCAATTCTGCAACAATCCAATTAAAATATCTAAGTACCTAAATGCCGAGGACATAGAAGAGAGTAGTGAGCAAGAAAACAAAAACAGGGGCTAGCAGGTGGTGTGGTGGTTAAGGTACTGGACTCCCACATGGCTGACCACGGTTTGAGTCCTGGATCTGGAGGTTTGCTTGCTGTCTCTCTGTATATCTGTCTTTCTCTGGTGAGTGTGTATTTCATGTAACAAATTATAAATAAATAAATAACTCTTAAAAAGAAAAAAAGACAGCTGGAACAGAACAATCTAAATACCGACCGCAGTTTTTACCCACAGAGTATTTTCAGATTTGTACTCAGTCCAGAAACTGTTCTGAGTACATGCAGATCTAACTACAGCTGTAACACTAGGGAGAACACTGATATGGAGGGAACTAGTTACAAAGCCCAAGTGATGGCTGTAACAGGAATTGTACCAGTCCCTACAGTTGGAAATCTGGTTTCTCTTGACTACCTCCTATCTGTGGTTACATTTTTCACAATTAATTTATGGTAGTACAGACACTAATTTCAAACTTAAAGAGGTTGATTGTGTTCAGTAATTCATGTGTTGAAGGGAAGTGAAGTATCAGAAACCAGTGTGATTCTTTCTATATACTATAAAAGGAAAACATTTCAAACTTTTGAAAGTGAATTCTCATATGGTATGTGGGAAATAAACTTACTAGCAGACAAGTGAAAATGATCCATCATAGGCAATCATATTAGCACTTTGTTTTTAAACCCCACACACTAGGAAGTCCTTAGATTATAAAAGAAAAGTAGTCCTGGTCCAATCATAGCAAAACATATGCCCTCTATTCTTCTCTCACTAAGTTTTTATGTTCTGACTTGGGTGGATGGTGTTTTTTTTCCCATGAACCTGATTAATGTACATCTCGTAATTTCTCATGAAGATCACAAGATAGATAAAAAAAAAAAAACTTACACATTGTTTTATGTAGTAACTAAAATGAATTCTATCAACTTGCTCTCAACTAGACTTGAAGACTTAAACATCACAATTTTAGTTTAAAAAAAGAAAAGCGAGATATGTTTGAAGTTGATATCATCATCAATTTTTTAAAAATGAGGCTCTATGTGAAGTCAGCCACCATAGACCCTCACTCCCTGTCCTATCTATGCGGCCTGGGCTGGAAACTGGGGGTTCTCAGATCTTCAGTTATGAATCCCTGATGAGAAGAAAAGAGTGGACATTGGAGCTTTTTCAAGAGCTTTGAGTCCATATACACAAAAGCAATGCTTTTAAATAGAACAGGTAATCCCCAGAAAACAAGGGCCTTTGCCAGAGAGAAAACACCCTCGAGGGGATGCAGTCATGCCACAATCTTTTTTCTTCCATTTCTCCAACCCATCAGGATTTGGGGCATGCACACACATGTGCCTAGCCTGTATTTCAAGCTGCAAGGGCCGAGATTTGAACCATGGTCAGCCATGTGGGATCTGACTCAAAACGCACAGTGCTGGACCCCTGTGATACAAGGTCACCCTAGTATATTTTAACCTATGGAAATGCTAATATAATTACTTAAATATCTGATTTTAAAGTGTTAACTCACTGTGGTTCCTTCTCACATGTGGCTTTTGCTAAATTAATGGCTTATAAGAATATGGAGTCTGCCAAGTTTTTGATGTTAAAAAATAGCTGCAGATATGGTTACTGATTAGAAAGAGACCTGAAGGAACTTTCAGGGGGCAAGAAACTAGATTTTGACAATAGTTACACTGATAATGAGTACATAGGTCTGTAATAAATAAAAATTCATCAAGCTACATACTTCAGATTTGTGCATTTTACTGCATACAAATTATGCCTCAGAACAAAAGGAAGGGGGTCTTTTTTTTTTTTGGAGAGGTTTTCGCTATAGGGCGCGTGTGCTCGCCAGACAGACAGAGAGATACATAGAGACAGAAAGCGAGAAATCACCCCCCAGAGGGGATGGTCACACCGCAGTCCCTTCTCCTCCATTCTCCTCTCGGGATTTTGGGCACGCACGCACAAGCGCCCGGCGTGAGTTTTAAGCCACCGGGTCCGGGACGTGAACCGCGGTCGACTACGTGGGAGTCCAGCGACATAGCCATTATGCTAACTGCTGGTTCCTGGAAGGGGGTCTTCTTAATCCTACAGTCTGGGAATCACAATCTCCCAAATCCAGGCCAAGATGAAACTTCTCCCATCTGGCACAAATGGAAATAAATAGGAATAGGACTTCATCACAACTTCATTCATTCTTTCGTTTCTTGTTTTTGCTAAAAAGCATGTGTGTTCACCAGAGAAAGAGAGAGAGAAGTCAACCTCCAGGGCTGGGGGAGGCCAAGTCGCAATCTCTTCTCCTTTAGTCTCTTAGAATTTTGGGCATGCACACATACATGCCAGCATGATTTTCAAGCTACCAGGTCTAGGACTCAAATCACACAACTGGCCATGTGGCATCCAGTGCCATCCATGTCACCTGATAGCCCCTACAACTATATCTATTTAACTTAAAGAAACATGTTATTCTGAGAATCCTTCCTATTTTGGGGGGGTGTCATTTATTTTCAGTACTCTTCCTACTCCATACTACAATGTTGTTTCTTTAAGAAATAATAGTGATTTTTTAAAAAGGGAACTGCAGCCAGCAGATGGTGTAGTGGTTAAGGCATGATACTCCCACATGGCCAACTGCAGTTCGAGTCCTGAACCTGGCAGCTTGCTTTCTTACTTTCCCTTTCTGTTTCTCTCTTTCTCTGGTGAGTGCACATGCCCTATAGCAAATTTTAAAAAGTAATAACATACCAAATTAAAAAAATAAATATTTTTAGAAAAGGGAACTAATTTTTTTGTTTTTGTTTTATTTTCATAGTTTTCTTTCAGTATCATTTAGAGTGGCTCAATATCTCTACTGGGCAACATAAGAAAACTAATAATTCACTGTTGTTATTTTCTTAAACTGCTTCATGAAATAAAATTTTATTTTTTTTGAAAGATTTTTGCTATAGGGTGTGTGCACTCACCAGAGAGACAAAGAGACAGAGAGACAGAGAGACAGAAAGCAAGAAATCATCCCCCAAGGGATGCTATGCCACAATCCCTTCTACATTCTCCTCTCAGGATTTTGGGAACACATGCACACAAGCCTGGCGTGAGTTTAAGTCACCAGGTCTGTCACTCAAACTGCAGTTGACTACATGGGAGTCCAGTGACATAACCACTATGCAATCTCTGGTCCCTGAAATGAAACTTTCTAAGGGACCACTCTCTAGATGCAGCTGCACTTTTAAAACTGACCATCACGGGCTGGTCCCATAGTAGTGCAGTGGTTAAGCACTGTGCATTTGGAGCTGATCCCAGTGCCAACAGTGGTTCAAATCCAGGTTCCAGAAGTTTGAAAAGCACATGTGCATGCATGCCCCAAATTCTGATGGGATGGAGAAATGGAGGGAAAAAAGTTTTGCAAAGTGACCACACCCCATGGGGGGTGGTGTGGTGCTTTCTCTCTCTCCTTCTCAGGCTAATGCATGCATCCTCTGACAATAAAAAAATAAACCAAAACTAGCACCTTGTAAGACCTCTGCCCTTATTCACTAGCCAAGCAGACAACTGCCATCCTTATGCCAGCCTGCCTCTCCTCATTTCTTATTGTACCTGAAAAGGAGGCTCACTCTCACTTGGAGAGTTAGAGCAATTCTCTGTCCATGGACCTGCAAGGAGACCTGGTGGAGCCTTGATGAGGTCCAGAAAGAGGAGACATATTTTCTAAAGCCCTCAGTGTAGTGTGGTGGTTAAGGTGCTGGACTCCCACATGGCCAATTGTGGTTCAAGTCCTGGACCTGGCAGCTTGCTAGGACACCCTCCAAAATATGTAAAATATCCTATCTCAGAGAGAGCAGAACAGAAACTCTCTCAGAACCAGCAGTGTAACTAAACAAATGTACAACAAAGTTTAACAAAATGTTTAAAAATCACGTTTCTTCAATGGACAGAACACCACTCTCCTACTACAGAGAGCCTACATCTCTTCGATCAAGGTTACGATTTTAACACAAGTTCATTCATTTTTTTTCCCTCAAAGAAAATATCTGACAAAATATTAGGAAACTGTTTTACCTGTAAAACCCCTTGAGGTTCACTCTGTCCTTTATCAGGTCAGCTGCCTGCACAATAATAATATTCCTCAATGCTCTTCCCGCACAAGAGGAATTCTCTCCATAAATCTAAATTTAAAAGACAAACATTCACTGTAAATGTAGAACAATAATGTGACCATTTCTGAGCTACCAATGGCATGCTATTTTAAAAATAATCATGATCAAGTCCCTAAGCCTGAGACACATATTTTAGCTTATATAGCTACAAAACTATACCTATTTTACTTTAGCTACTGACTCACTTATGCTATTAAGCTATAGTAATTATTTTTACACGTTAAACTGCTCTGTTTAACTACAATTATAAATATTCTCCATTCATGCAGTTTTCAGTATAAAATAGGCATATATTTTAAATACGGTGTTTCCATCAATACAACAAATACAAGAATATATTATATACTAACTCTTCCATTAATAGTTCACTAATACAAAGGTCTTAGAAGATGAGAAAAGAAATACTTTCCTATCTAGTAAACATCATGAACCATGATAATTTGACAGTGGGATGCTTTACTGTAAAGTTTCACTCAACTGCAAAGTTCATTGTTAATTCCAAACATCCTGGCTTTATCTGCTTCCCATGTCTACCTATCAGATAAAAATTTCATTTAACTTGCTTTTTCAGTCTTCTAATTCCCTCACATAAATCTTTTGCTCCTGGAGAAAGGAGGGTATTCATCAGATCTAAAGAAGTCTGGATCCTACTCTATAATACCACCTCCTCCTTGAGGATCAGCACCCTCCTCTACAGTTTCACAGTACTGTCCCACGAGCAGAGGAGGCTATGTGAAATCCAATGGAAAGGTTCTGAGTTTGCATCCAGAGACTCCCTGAATACACTCAGCCCATGTGTGCACACAACCCAAGGCTGGGTGAGGCTGGGGTTGGATCAGAGCACTAGGGCCTTGTCAGAGGTGCCCCTACCCATCTCTCTGACTCATAGAAAAAAGAAATAAAACTTAAAATGAAATTATAAAAAAGAAAATGAACTGCCTCTGTAAAGTAAAGGCTCATGAGAATTAATATATATTGAAGAGGCATGCTTTCTTCATTTTACTTGTTTCTTGATGAACTCTTTTGGTAGCTACGAAATATTTTTTATCTTCTCTTAAAGCAAATACACTGGCTATGTATCAATAATGATTTGATTGTGAACCTGTCAACCCCATTTTTAGGCTTCTTTAATGTGTCTTTTATCAACTCATAAAGAAAACCTGACAAGAAAGCAAGAAGGGCAGTAAATGATTTTTGTAAAAAAAAAAAACAAAGCTTAAACAGGCCAGATGACAGAACATATCACCAAGGACAAAGCATATGAGTCAGCTGACACCTGACTAGTCTTAACATTACACAATGTTCATTCAGTCATTCAAAAGCATTTAATGAGCAAGTGTCAGGTCTGTCCTAGATGTTGGGGACACAGCGGTAAACAAAGTAAAATTGTCTACTAAATTTAGTCTACACTGAAAATATATACTTCCTAACTGCCCTCGCAAAGTTCACAGTCTCTAGTTATTCTAAAATATGCAACTATCTGCTTACTTTTACACACACGATAAATACACCTTCATGTTTCCTTACCAGTGAGCACACAGGGGATAGCTCATAATAAATAACTATAATACACTTTTACACAATATTTTTGATGCAAAATACCTCCTATTTGCAAAACAGTGTTTATATCAACATAACAAACTGAAAAATATTTATTTTATATATGTAATCTGCCATGTTGATAAATGTGTTTCTGTAAAGAACTTAGAAGATGGAAAAAGAATTTTTTTCCTACTTAGTGAACATCTTGAAGTGTGACACAATGATTAGAACACTTCACTATGTTCAATGTACCATTTCTAGTGGAGGAGACATGGGTTTGCTGAATATCCTTCCAGCACTCTGTATGGTCAGGAGCAAAGGGAATGCTATGACAGGTCAGGTTACTCGAGAATGCTATGACAGAAACTATTGTTACAGAAAATGCAGGAGAGAAATGAATCATACCTGGGAGGAAGGGTGTTCCAAGTATGGATTAGAAATTCTTCTTGATAGAGTCTATTTTAAAAGAAAGAAAAGAAAATTAGAACCAAAATGGAACCATTTACAAAAGAGCAAAATGTGTGCAATAGTGGCATGCCCAGTAATTGTCCATGCTTTAAAAATGAGTTTAAATCTCAACTTTTAGGCCTTAAGGGATCAGCATCCCTGGACCTATTCAATGTAAGTATCTGATCAACATTCATGCCAATAAGACAGGATATTCCACTTGAAAAGCTCCCCACCAGAGAGTACCACCAACACAAGTACTATAAAACAGCTGGGACTATTGGGGTGGGGAGGTAGGGGGAAGGAAGGGTATTTGTCTTTTAGTCTTCATACAGTTTGAATTCCATTTCTCCTTTCATTTTCACTTCCATTTTTTCATCATCCTATTCCAGGGCCCTTATCATTATACACCAGAACTACTACTACATCTTCAAGGAACTTCCCTGCCTTCCGGTCACCTCCTTCAGGCCATCCTGCAGATTTCAACTAAACATATATTTCTACCTCACCTCTTTGACTTATAAGGCTCTTGTAATCACTTATGTGAATGAATCTAAGCTGCCTGTGGGCCACCAGTCACTTCCAGCAGGTTTCTAGTATTCTCTCTCCATCTCCCTATAAAGTTTCTTTGACTTAGCATGATCAGCTTGTCAGAAGAACTTGCCACTCTTATCCCTGCCTCTGGTCACACAATTCTCCATCTTCTTTGATACTTCCTTGAATCTCACCAGACTTTGAAGTCCAGGTTTTTGTACAGTTACCTGAGAGAAGCTCCTTTTGCTGGGGTTTGCCTCTTTTCAAAGCTCTTTGTTTTTTCTACTAGTCACAGGGCTATGCCTGGTGCCCTGCACCGTTGGCTATTTTTCCGTACATGCATTCGCCCCACAGAATGCGAAAGTCCTCGAAGAACTGCTGGCAGCTTTTATAACTTGGCTTTCATGGCATCTAGCACACAGCCTTACATATAGATGTTTATTTTACTTTTCATATATTTAGATATTTATAAATCCATACCAACATAATAAGTATTTGCTGAATGATCTGAATTGCAGAAGCTGATTTTTCCCATCTAACAATACAGTCAGCAGCACCATCACCCACAGATGCTTAAGCACAATAGAGAACTATTATCACTTCCCATTGCCATATAGGAAAAAGAACAGAGAAACTAACATTTATTGAGCTTCCAACCTATGTTTAAAAGCTTTGTGCACCTCTATTCCAAGTCTTTCTGTCTTTCAAGATCCCATAGTTTTTAGCCTACCGCCTCCACTTCTTGGAATAATTTGCTAAATTTACGAAATATACCCTGCCAGTCATCACTTTGCTGCATCTGAACCTTCTACCAAACGTTAGTCTAAAAAGAGAAGCCCAGTTCTGCCCCATCCCCATTACACATGGCTCCCACACAACTTGCCTTCTAATTAAACTGAAATAAAATGTATCAACTTGTTATCCAATGCCAATTAATAGTCTACTAAAGATTTGCAACTTGCTTCAAATAAAATACATTTTATAAAGAAGGCAGCACATTTTTAATTCCCATCTATTAAAATAGAACATCCATTCTTCTGATCTAACTACACTCCCAATCAGCCCTCCCTGGGCCTTCTGTCATCTGAGGCTATGTAATACATTCACTTGTTGAAATACTGAACAATTTTAAACTTGCATATGTACTAGATTTATAACATGAAGATGAATCATCATGACAAATTCTTTTCTTGTCCTATACAAGGAGACATTTAAAAATCAATATGGTAGACCAAAACTGACAACCTTTATTACTCATCTAATTGCCCAAATGAGCTCAGAAAAGCAGTATTTCTCATGATGTAGGTAAAGAGAAAGCTTTTAGATAGAAAAAGCTCTAAAGAACTGGGCAGGGGCATTTTCACAAAAGCAAACTACTTGCCTCTGTCTAGTACCAGCCTAAATTTGGCTATCTCCATGCTAGTGTTACACTCACACAATTCCACTTAACAGAAACTTCCCCCATGGATGGCTGGTTTTAAAAGATTGGTAAGGTGAGTAAATAAAGCAATGGGATTCTTCTATACTGAATAGATAACAGTGTTAGATAAGCTACTCGCCCACAGGGAATGGACAAGAGCTACATAATAAGAACTGTCTTTTACAGGACACAACTCCTAGATTTGTTGTCAGAAACTCCTGTGAAGCCCTCTCTTAACTGGTCCCAGGGGAGCTTTGTTTCATTAACACTTGGGGACAGCAGTTCTCAAACTTGTTAGCTGAACTCAGAGGAAGCCACAAAGCTTTTGTGGAGCTCAGTGAAATACTGATGCGTCGAACTTAAAATAACTACTGTAACTATCCTTTAATAGGGACCACTTTATGTATTAACCAATACTTTGAGTATTGGTCAAAAATATCAAAGGTCAGAGACGCAGGGAAAAAAGAACATAGGGAATGTTGCATTTTTACCTCATTTTAACAGTATTGGGAAAGAACTGTTACTTCGTTTTATTACAGGAACACCATGGGTAAAATTACTGCTGCTCCAATTCCCCTCAAGAATTGCTCTCCCAGCAGCCACCTGAAATAGGACCACAGGAACACCTTCGAAAATGGACCCCCTCCATTTTCCCATTCTTTCCTTAATATACATTCAGAAGTTTTCATCTTGTTTTTAAATCCCTTGGCTTTATTTCTCCTCTAGCATTCCAGGGCTTATCATTTAATTTTAGTGGATATCTGACTTTAAAAGGGTAATATATGATTGCTAACCAATTATCCTTTACTATGCCTTAATACCATACTTAAGCTCCATCTTACCGGTACTATGGCAACTTACATCCATTAATTTCACATGAATGAAGTACTTACTGAACACCTACTGAGGCACTATGGGAGTTTCCAGAAACAGAGACATGAACAAGATGCCGTCCCTAATTAGAAAACCCACTGACCAGGAGATGTAGGCTCCAAAGAATTCTTTACACCCATGAATTCCCTTTCTGGATCTTGAGTTTCCTATAGTTTGCTCTGTAATGGTGGATGGCTGCACTACTCGATGCAAAGCATCCTCTTTTACATAAGTCTTAGCATAATATCTCATAAATATGATGCCAAAGTGATGATTCCTTTTCCACCTTTATTTCCAATTCCCGAGAGTTACTTAAGCTGGGTGCAATGATCCCAAAAGACATATACATCTCACAGAGGGAGAATATAACAATATAAATGAATACAGATTCTGCTTCAAATGTATTTCTCCTCTTTCCCAATGGAAAATGGTTTCCTAAATGATTCTAGGAATATTTTATTTATGTTTAGAAAATTCCAATTCTTTAATACTCATAAATGGACTTCCAGAAACAAAAATAATGGCACAACTCAAAGGAATAATTGGTTGATATCCACATAGTACTTTTAAGTTTTTTAAGTTAGGTGCACTAAAATTACACTATTATAGTCCATGAAACTGGGTCTCAACCAGGCATGCAACTCATGTTCCTAAAAATATTTTGCTAAACCATGTAACACACTCAAGACACATTTTTCATCAGCTCTTAAAGAAGATGCCTCAATACTACCCTTAGATTCAATTAAAGTACTCAGGTTACTAAGGAGCAAAAAAAAATGAGAGCAGACAATCACTTCAATCACCACAAAGTGTGACCTATCATATTTCTAACATAAACCAATAAGAACTACCAAGTTTATTGATAATGCAAGAATTCAGCTTGTGAGATCACTTTCTTTTTTTTTGAGAAGTTTTTGCTATAGGGCGCGTGTGCTTGCCAGAAAGACAGAGAGACAGAGAGACAGCAAGAAATCACGCCCCCCCCCCCCCCACACAGGTGGCCACACG